AAAGGTATTACGCTAAGCCGGAATTACGTTCACGGTGTTAAGTCCCCCTTTCTTTCGCTGACTGTGTGGCGAAAAAATGGAGAAATTATTAAACTTCCTCGTGATGCATATATCACATGAAATTTCACCGCTGTACGTTTTTGTGGATCCGGAAAAATTAGGATCGTATAGGTGAACTATATACGGGGGATTATTAAAATTTAATTAGGAAGTTCTTAATTTTCTACGTCTGATATTATGGAATTTATGGAACTGTAAATTTTCTTCTAATTGCCAGGCTTTCGGATACGAAATATTTCGAAGTGAAATATTTTTAAGTATCGTTTACTAAAATCATTTTTCCTGGATCATATACTAAAATCAGTTTTATTAAATCATTTGGTGAAATCATATTTATTAAATGATTTACTGTAATTGTTTTTACTGAATCATTTAGTAAAATCATTTTTACTGAATCATATTTACTGCAGTATTTATTAAAATCATTTTTAATGAATCATATACTAAAATTATTTTTATTAAATCATTTAGTGAAATATTATTTATTAAATGATTTACTGAAATTATTTTGACTGAATCATTTAGTGAAATCATTTATACTGAATCATTCACTGAAATTGTTTTTATTGAATCGTTTCTCAAAATCATTTTTACTGAATCATATACTAAAATCATTTTTATTAAACTATTTAGTGTAATTATATTTAATAAATGATTTACTGAAATTATTTTTATTGAATTATTTAGTGGAATCATTTTTACTGAATCATTCACTGAAATTGTTTTTATTGAATCGTCTATCAAAATCATATTTACTGAATCATTTACTGAAATCATTTTTACTAAACCATTTACTGAAATCATTTTTACTCAATCATTTACTAAAAACATTTTTTCTAAACCATTTACTGAAATCATTTTTACTGAATCATTTACCAAAATAATTTTTACTAAACCATTTACTGAAATAATTTTTAGCGAATCATTTATTAAAAACATTTCTACTAAACCATTTACTGAAATCATTTTTACAGAAGCATTTACTGAATCATTCACTGAAATCAATTTATCACGAAAGGTAGCCGAGAATGATAAACGCGAAATTTTTTGTGAAGGTTCCCTTTCCCGAGAGGAGGAAAAAATATGATATTTCTTCAGGTCCCACGTAAAAATTTCAAAGAACCGTCGGTGTTAAACGACGGAGAGTTTTCTGACGTGTCGGGAGAAAAGTCGAATATCCAACTGGGAACGTCCTCCCACTCGCCAGCAATTTCAATCAATTGACCTCGTTGAAGATAAATTTCGTCCCAAGGTTCAGGCGACTTTGAACCTTTTTTACGTCCCGCAAGGCTCTCGTGGTTAAACTTTGCCAGGTAAAATGATTCAATAGCTATTTCGTGTGGACGAACCGGATGGGCGAGACTTTCAATTTATCAAACGGGTCAGCGAGATAATGGCCCGCTGTCGTATAAAGGCGGCCTTATGCAAATTAGCAACGAAGGTGAGAACTTTCTAAATGGAAAAATTATCTGGACCGAAGGAAAGCTACTTTTGTAGGTTTTTCATCGACTCGCATTTACCGTCGATAGTGTTGACGTGGAAAAAACGAAGTCTACACGGATGAATTACGTCTTTTAAATGACGGGAGAGGAGTTATCGAACAGAAGTTATCTCGAGCCACATTTCCGAGATTAGCATTTTGAATAAATTTTATGATATCGAGTTTAAAAGAAATCTTGAAGTATTATTCAAATAAAATCAGTGTGGCTCGTTTCTCTTGGATCTTATAAATTATTCAGATAAATTGGTTGAATATATTTTAATAGTTCTAAATAAAAAACATCTTATTCCACAATTTTATGATACATTTTATTGAGAAGCCTTGTTTGATCTATTTTGTAAATTGGTAGGTGAAAGAAATTAATTCTGAATTTCAGAGATGTCTTTGTCTGACGTATAATTGGTTTGTACCACTTGCTCGACTTCTGTTATACTTACGTTAAAGAGGCTACTTCAAATAAATTTTGAAATATAAAACAGAAAAATTCTCTTCTGGCAGAAGTATTATTATACAAAGTCAATTAGTTAACCTATTAAAACACTTCGTCTGACATATGATGGGTTTATACTACTTACTAGATTGAGACTTGCTTCAACGAATCTTGTAATAACAAAAATAAATTTTTATACAGTCATTTTTAAGAGAGTTTAAACTCGAAATTGACAAGTGCTATTTTTTAATATACTTCATCAAATTGTGTTAGTTCATTGAACAATTGATGAGTTGCACATATGAAGTCGTTACAAGATTAACCTTGTAATTTTTACATACGATACAATCTACAATTAATTGTGAGACACCCTGTATGATAGAATAATATATGAGTAATAAAATCAGTGTTGAAATCGGTTTGGCCGGTAGTTTCTAACGTTCAAGAATGAACCTGCGAGTTAGGATGAATGACCGTTGGGTCACAAGGGTGGCAATTAAGATGATCCTACGTGTACTAATTACCCCGTTCCGTGCACGCTCGTATCACTTTCACGGGGAATAGAAAATAGAGCTTAGCCAGTCGGGATCCAAGTTGGGGAAGTAATCTCGCGTAATCAAAGCCTTGTTCGACGGCGTGGCTTAGCTCGAAATCGGTATCAACCAATCCCAGGTGTTCAATTGGCATCGCGCCAGGATTTAAGCTTGGCTTAAATTTCGTGCAACGGCCCGCGGAACTAGGCCAGATTCAGATTAGAATTAACTAATTGTTGCGTACAGTGTTGTAATTAGCCTCCCGTTTCCCACGTACTAACGCTTAATTAAAATCGCACGACAATGAATCGCTGATGAGACGCTGCTAAGACGAATGGACTCTACTGTAACTGTTCGAGAAATAATAGATGATGTTCTCTTTACGAGTTAGATAATAATATTAATAATAAGGAATGCCAGGAATGTTAACATTTTGTCTGTAAGGTTTTTTAAAATGTTAGTAATGTTAACATTTTGTATGTAAGGTTTTTTAAAATGTTAGTAACGTTAACATTTTATCTAAGGATAAATTGAAAGTTGTATGCACACTTCAAAACTCTGATTTAATTTCAGTATGTAATATTTTCTTTTCTCTTTGTAATGATGAACATATGTTAACAATGATAATTAGCAATAAGCAGAGCAAGTATTTTAATAATGGTAGCAATTGTTTAAATGACAAGAATTAGCAAGCATTTTAATAGTGATAGCAAACATGTTAATAGCAGTAGCAGTTGTTTATATGATAGAAATTAGTAATCATATTAATAGTGATATGAATAGCAGTCATATCAATCATGTTAATAATTAGCAATAATAGTGGTAGCAGCTAATGTCAATAGTAACAAGAATTATTAAATAAATTAATAATGACAGCAACTATATTAATAATAATAGTAATTATCAACCTTATTAACAAAGAGAACATCTGTATCAATAATGATATAAATTATGAACCATAAAACAGTGTCAACAACCATGTTATTAATGGCAGCAACTTATGTCAATGATAACAGGAATTATCAACAAAATTAAGAATGACAGCAACTATGTCAATAATAACAAGAAATATCAGCTGTCTTAATAACGATAGCAAGCTATGTGAATAATGATAAGAATTTCCCACGAAATTAATAACAATAACTACCATGTTAACAATAGCTTTCATATCAAAGGTAGCTAACCCGATGATGTTCTCTTTACGAGTTAGATAATAATATTAATAATAAGGAATGCCAGGAATGTTAACATTTTGTCTGTAAGGTTTTTTAAAATGTTAGTAATGTTAACATTTTGTATGTAAGGTTTTTTAAAATGTTAGTAATGTTAACATTTTGTATGTAAGGTTTTTTAAAATGTTAGTAATGTTAACATTTTGTATGTAAGGTTTTTTAAAATGTTAGTAATGTTAACATTTTGTATGTAAGGTTTTTTAAAATGTTAGTAATGTTAACATTTTGTATGTAAGGTTTTTTAAAATGTTAGTAATGTTAACATTTTGTATGTAAGGTTTTTTAAAATGTTAGTAATGTTAACATTTTGTATGTAAGGTTTTTTAAAATGTTAGTAATGTTAACATTTTGTATGTAAGGTTTTTTAAAATGTTAGTAATGTTAACATTTTGTATGTAAGGTTTTTTAAAATGTTAGTAACGTTAACATTTTATCTAAGGATAAATTGAAAGTTGTATGCACACTTCAAAACTCTGATTTAATTTCAGTATGTAATATTTTCTTTTCTCTTTGTAATGATGAACATATGTTAACAATGATAATTAGCAATAAGCAGAGCAAGTATTTTAATAATGGTAGCAATTGTTTAAATGACAAGAATTAGCAAGCATTTTAATAGTGATAGCAAACATGTTAATAGCAGTAGCAGTTGTTTATATGATAGAAATTAGTAATCATATTAATAGTGATATGAATAGCAGTCATATCAATCATGTTAATAATTAGCAATAATAGTGGTAGCAGCTAATGTCAATAGTAACAAGAATTATTAAATAAATTAATAATGACAGCAACTATATTAATAATAATAGTAATTATCAACCTTATTAACAAAGAGAACATCTGTATCAATAATGATATAAATTATGAACCATAAAACAGTGTCAACAACCATGTTATTAATGGCAGCAACTTATGTCAATGATAACAGGAATTATCAACAAAATTAAGAATGACAGCAACTATGTCAATAATAACAAGAAATATCAGCTGTCTTAATAACGATAGCAAGCTATGTGAATAATGATAAGAATTTCCCACGAAATTAATAACAATAACTACCATGTTAACAATAGCTTTCATATCAAAGGTAGCTAACCCAACCTAACCTAACGTAACCAATTTAATCTATTAATAATAATTGTCCCTTACATTTTGCAATTTTTGTAACTAATAATATCACCATATTTAGAAAGTAGTGGCTAACAAAATTTGCACAGAAACACAAGTACGAACAAACTCACCGATCACGTTCAGATGCACGATGTGACTCATGTGAGGCGTCGTGGAAACCTGACACTCGTAGAAACCGCTGTCACGAATCTGCGGATACTTGATTTGAAGCATCCAATCGTCCGTGTGTGCGTGGTGAATCGCCCTGAATCGTTGGTCGTTCGTGTACGTGTAATGACCGTTTGTGAGCAGATGGACGTCCCTGTGTCGCATCCAGGAAACCTGCAACGTCATCTGTGAAACAGAAAAGTGATCTATTTGACGCCAGCGAGAACAGAATATCTACTAATACGTAAATAGTGTATGAATTATATACGAAGGTAATTCATTCATTAGAAGTAATTATTCATTGCATGATTTATTCGTCAGATACGTCGGTCAGAAACTGCTGGTGCAATATTAAAACTTTTCACTCGGAGCTATTTTTGGGGTTGACGGGTTCTAAAACTTTAATTGGAGATGTTTCATGTGTTCTTTTGCATTTATGTCTGTATTATTAATTGCTATAATCGAGTGCTGTATTGTGTTTATACGTCACATTTATAATATTGTAGAATTGGTTCAAAAATATTTTGTTCAAATTGTTGTGTTGAACCGCACGGTCACTTGTGGGGTCTAAAGGGTTAAAACAAGTAATAAATGTTAAAATGTTACATCAATTTTTAATTTTGTAATTCTAAAGTGTATACATTATAGCTTTGACTTGAACTTCAAATTGAAGCATTTTAAAAATTTTAGTGTTACCTCAATTTTTAATTTCGCGATGCTATAGTTTTGACTTTGACTTCAAATTGGAGCACATTACAAATTTTACTGTTACCTCAATTTTTAATTTTGCAATGCTAAAGTATATACATTATAGTTTTGACTTGAACTTCAAATTGAAGCACATTACAAATTTTACTGTTACCTCAATTTTTAATTTCGCAATGCTAAAGTATATACATTTGACTTGAACTTTAAATTGAAGCATTTTAAAAATTTTAGTGTTATCTCAATTTTCAATTTCTCAATTTTAAAGCATATACATTATAGCTTTGACTTGAATTTAAAATTGAAGCACATTAAAAATTTTAGTGAGTTTATCACATTTAAACTGTGTGTCACGAGACTCGTCAAAACATAGAGGATTCAATGAACCAAAATAAAATGTTCACATCTGAACATCATTAAAATTGTGATGTTACCATTAAATGTACCTAACAATGAGCCTAAAATAATCAATAAAATGGAATAACGCATAACTTTACTTCTTCCCAAATGATCATCCGATCCGAAAGGTGCGAAAAAAGAACGAAAAGGTGTGACACGACAACGCGAAAAGATTTCGACGATTTTGCAGACTGAAACTCGGGCTGCGAAATTCGCGGACCGAATCTTTTGTCCTTCGTTAAGGGTTCCCCATTAAGCGAGACCGCGTAATTAGAAGTAGCTCGTTCGTGTGTTGTGGCAGTAATTAGCGAAACGTCGGGTACGACATTTAGCAAGGGTGTTCGCGATCCCCCAGCTTTCGAATTACGTGCATTTTTCTCGCCTCTTTTAGTTAGCTCGAGGGTGGTGCGTGTTTTTCGTCGGATCCGAAATAATTTTCGTGTTTGCCGATGAACCAGCGGCTGAAATTTTCCAGGATTTAAATCTGCTCGATAATTTAGCGAAATACGAATAAACGGCCGACGAACAATGCGGAATACATTTCCGTAAATGACGTATGTAGAATTTGGTGGAGCATATTAATTTTGAGGGAGGTTTTTGATGGAAATATTGTAATGGCGAGTTACTTGTTACATTTTGTTGGGTAATTGTGTAATGGGAGTGAATGGTATTGGATTTAAAAATTTTTAGGTTAGGGGAAGAGGTTTAGAGGTTAGAGGTTAGGTGATTTGAGAATTTTAATATTTTACAGTTTGAGAATGTTATACTTTGAAGACATAACCTGAAGACTTAAAAACTTGACAATTTATAAATTTGAAGAATGTCATAATTTTAATATTTAACTTCAAGACGTCTAAACTTGAAAATTACAGACTTGACTGATAAATTTACAGAAAATTTATAGATAGACTATTTAGAAATTTGCAAATGTGAGTAATTGAAGACTTAGACAAACAACTTAAAAATTTCCAAACTTCTGAATTTAAGAATTTGAAGACCTAACAATTTCATTGAAAATAACCCACTCGATAATTCTAAAAAATTGTTAACAAAGAAATCTAATTAATTCTATGAAGTATCCTTCGAAGAATTTGTTTAATACGATGAAGCTCGTGTTACTTAAAACGAGCAATGGAATTCAATAATTTTTCTCTGTGCTTTTTTATATACATATATTCTCGGTTGATCGTAAATCAAACGAATACGTGCGAGCGAAAAGAAAGAAACGAGCGCACAATGGCCTCTGGAAATTGACATATAGAGAGCGTACGAGAACGTACAGGAAAATATGAAATTCCGTAAATTTCGAATATCCATTAGGTTTTTATTACCAGCGCGGTCAAAAATGGAGTAGTTAGTGTAACGTGCGTGTAGTTGCACGAGGAATTTTTTATGCAACCGTCGCTGAATATTTCATGTAGCTATTGATCCCGGTTATTTCGTTCGTGTTTTAACGACAAAAAGATACCCGGTTAAATAAATATATATGTACATACAAAATAAATATCCGAATGTCGAAATCTGTTAATAAACATTTTGTCGGTGAACATCCGATTGAAACGTTATTGAAAGGTATCGCGGAAGGGATCAATGAAATTAAAGAAAAACTCAATAAAAAACGAAACGAACAGCGCCGATCAGAAATAAAAGTTCGGAGAGAGTATCGTCGAAAAACATCCTAGTTAAAATGCAAACTAATATTTACACAGTACCAGTTTACAGTTTTTTTGTCGGCTAAACATCGACAAAAATAGTTCCTGCAGCTCTATTTATTTTACAATGCAACAATTCGTTGAAATTTTATTAACTGCTCGCTTGAAACAATAAACACGTGAAAATCAACCGTTTCATCTCGTTGCAACAAAACTTTTATTTGTCTGATAACGTATTCAAAAAATGTATACCGGGGTCGAAACGATAAAAGTGTATTCGTTATGGTAACAATCAGTGCACTGATAAAATTAAATATGATTGTCGTTTATGTGTTAACGATGCGGAAAATAAAATCATTTATAAATAAATATTGAGAAGTATATTAACAGAAATTTTACGTAATTTTAGTAATAATATTGTTTTTAATAGAGTGTTGTATTGCGAAATATTGCGAGGCGGTTCGTGAGAATGTACGAACGCTTTGTGATGCAATATGCGATATGTAGGAGATATGGTGATATAACGCGTAGCAAATACAGCGGACATGTATAGCGTGAGTTAATGTATTGCTTTGCACACTCGACGCTCGGTAAACGCGCTGCATTTCAACGCATTGAAAATTCAAGACGACAGGAATTTGACGTACTGCAAAGTCAACGGGTTGTAAATTTAGTGCGTCATGAATTTAATGTGTTGCAAATATCACGCAATGTATATTTAATATGACACAAATTCAAGGCGCTGTAAATTTGACGCGTTGCTAATTTGACGCGCTGCAAATTCGACGCGTTGCAAATTCGACGCGCTACAAATTCGACGCGCTGCAAATTCAATGTGTTGCAAATTTGAAGCGTTGCAAATCCGACGCACTGCAAATTCGATGCGTTGCAAATCCGACGCACTGCAAATTCGACGCGTTGCGAATTCGACGCGTTGCAAATTCGACACACTGCAAATTCAACGCGCTGCAACCTTAACGCGCATCAAATTCGACGCGTTGCGAATTCGACGCGCTGCAAATTCGACGTGTTGCAAATTTGACGCGTTGCAAATCCGACGCACTGCAAATTCGACGCGTTGCAAATACGACGCGTTGCGAATTCGACGCGTTGCAAATTCGACACACTGCAAATTCAACGCGCTGCAACCTTAACGCGCATCAAATTCGACGCGTTGCAAATTCGACGCGTTGCAAATCCGACGCACTGCAAATTCGACGCGTTGCAAATACGACGCGTTGCAAATTCGACGCGCTGTAAATTCGGCGCGCTGCAAATTCAACATGCTGAGAATTCAACGCTCTGCATATTGAACGTGCAGAAAATTCGACACATTGCAAGTTCAATGCGTTGCAAATTCGATGCGTTGCAAATTCAACGTGATGCAAGATCAACGCGCTGCAAACTTGATTCGTCGCAAATTTGTTGCGTTGCAAGTTCGACGTATTGCAAATTCAACGTGATGCAAATTTGATGCATTGAAAATCCAACGCGCTGTAAATTTGACGCACTTCAAATTCAACGTGATGTAAATTTGACGCATTGCAAATTCGACGCCTTGCAAGTTCGACGCCTTGCAAATTCAACGTGATACAAATATGACGTGCGGTAAAATTGATGCGTTGCAAATTAGACGCGCTGCAGATACAACGCTTTGCAAAGTCAATGCGTCACAAATTTAAAGTGTCACAAGTTTAATGCTCCGCAAATTCTACCCGCCACAAATTCAACGCATTGCAGGTTCAACGTACCGCACATGAAACGCATTGTAAGTTATATATGTTGCAAATTCAACGGATTATAAATTAAACGTATCGCAAATGTAATGCATCGCAAGTGCAATGTACCGCAAGTGCAACGGGCCGTAAGTATAACGCGTCACTAACATATGTACATAACACATATGAAAAAGTCGTGGACCACCATGATGGCCGCCATGACGGTTTACGCACAAAATGGTGGCTGATGATAAATCATGATGACTGAAACGTTCGAAATAACTAAATTCTTTTCTTTTTATAAAACTAGATTCAGGTGTCAATCATGACGACTGAAATGTTCAAAATAACTAAATTGTTTTGTTTTTATAAAACTAAATTCAGGTGTCAATCATGACGACTGAAATGTTCAAAATAACTAAATTTTTTTGTTTTTATAAAACTAGATTCAAGTGTCTATCATGACGACTGAAATGTTCAAAATAACTAAATTTTTTTGTTTTTATAAAACTAGATTCTAGTGTCAATCATGACGACTAAAATGTTCAAAATAACTAAATTTTGTTGTTTTTATAAAACTAGATTCAGGTGTCAATCATGACGACTAAAATGTTCAAAATAACTAAATTTTTTTGTTTTTATAAAACTAGATTCTGGTGTCAATCATGACGACTGAAATGTTCAAAATATCTAAATTTTTTTGTTTTTATAA